TTTCTTTGGCTTCTGTCTCTAACTCTAGGCTCTCTAGTGACTGGCAGTGTTATATTGTCCATTCATATTTAAGGAAGATGTGCTGAAACTAACTGGTAATTTGCATATATGGGTTTGAGGGCATCTCTTTAGAGTGGTTGGGCAGGGCCTCAGACCTTTCACGGAGATCATCAGATATTAGTACTTATAGTCTGTCCAAGGAGCCCTGGTGGTGTGTAAAGGTTTATGCTTTGGGCTGTTAACCACAAAGCCAGCAGTTCAAAAACCACCACCTGCTCCCACGGAGAGAGATGAGGCTCTCTGCTCCCGTAAAGAGTTCCGGTCTTGGGACCGAGAGACCATTGCGCTCTGACCTGTGGGGCTGCTGAGTCAGCAGTGACCGATAGCAGGGCGTTTGAGGACCTGTCTCCACAGGAATCTTCTAGCATTATGGCTGCTAAACAGAAAAGGGCCTGGAGGTATGAGTGTGAGTGTGTGTGTGTTGTATTTGGGGCGCTCTCACTCTTTAGTGTATCAAAAGGCCAAGTCTCAGTCTCACTATTTAGTCTGAGCATCAATTGATACTCCTTAGCTCCTCCCCTCCCCGTATGCTGACGGTCACAGTCTGCTAGCCAATAGTGACCTTCCCCTCTCTGGGGAGGCACTTGCTTCTCACTCACATTGTCCTTTGTGCACACCCACAGTTTCCGCGTTTCCCACTCCACGAAGCCGCCCACTGCTCTTTCCTTTGTTCTTCTTCCAAGCGCTTCACCTTTCCTGCCTACTGCTTCCTTGTGGCGGCTTCTGACCTCGAAGGCTTACTACACCTGCTAACATAGCTTCCTTGAGTTGGGTTTTATTGATGTTTCTGGAGGGAGCAGAGATAAAGAAATTAAATTATATATATATGCTTTGCTTTGTTTGCTATATGTAATTGCCAGGCCAAGGCCCACATTATGACATGAATCAATTTAAATGGTCATAACCAGAGTTGTTTCCTAGTTTGTTCTACAGAATCGGCAAGTTTGGTATACCATGAATAGTTTACTTTTTCTGAGTTCTAGATTGCACGGAGTTTTTTTTGTTAGTGGACTTCAACCCTGTGCTCAAGATTCAGATTTCATTAAAAGCTAAATGCCAATAAAAGTGCCCACCTCTTATATTTAGAATATATACTGCCTTTATCTTTTTAAGTTAATAAAGGCCCCTTGGATGAAAATCCAAAAAGTTGAAATAAAAAAATTTACACTCTGTATTTTACCACGTCAGGATAATGATTAACATATCCAGTAACAATTTTAACTTTGCTCCTTAGGATCCATCGTTTGAATCCTAGTGCTAGACTGCCCTCTAGTGGTAACCCTGATATGCTAAGGAA